TTGGCATTCCAAAGAAAAATATATCACCAATAATCTGTTTTCTAAAGATTGAGGTGTATCAAATCATTAGGTCATTTTTATTTTCTCACCTCAGTTTTAGCAGTATCTGAGGACTTGTGCCAAATATGAAGAAGGCCTTTGACAACATAAAAATAGCAGAATTATATATTAGCATCTATATCTTTTATTCATTAGCACTTTTCAATTGAAACAAAGTCAATTTTTTCAGTTACAGAATAACACTACCAAGTTCTTCTGGGTTGTGGATAACTGTGCAGCCAAGTTGATCTGCCTAGCAAAATAAAAATATTTGGAATTATCCTAGCAACTTTCAACTTATGTTTGAACTAAAGCCTCAGTTGTAGAAAGATAGCGAGATTTGTTGCTGTGCAAACACATTTCCTACATCATCCACCAGATGGCCATGAAAAAAGAAATAGTGCTTAAAGTGAAACTCTGATTGATGTTATTTAATGTAAAGTTTAAATCTGGATAAGCTCTGTCTACCTAGAAGTAACAAAAAGAAATGAGAGGAAAAGTTATGCCATTAGAGGGCACTTTTGTAATTTTAGGAAAAAAGTCTGTTCTTATAAAGCAATTTAAGGCTTTTGCTTAAGAAGAATGAATTTTCATTGTTGATTCTAAATGACTAGTTCTTAAACTGTGTATCTGAGAGAGAACATTTTATTGGGAGGGGAAAATGTGTAAAATCTTAAAACCACCATTTGAATAATTTTTATCAGCAAATGTAAGTTCTAAAAATATATACAATGTATCTGCACCGTCATTTTTTTGATTAGCTATATTCAGTGCTTCTTTTAAATACATTTTAACTTCTGCCTGTAACCTCACCAAATCGAACAAGCCATCAATGCTCCCTAATATTTAAATTTTTCCCCAACAGTAGTTGCATGTTACTAGATAATATTTGTAGAACCAGAATCTGACAGAGTATAAATTTCTGTGTTTGGGGTCCATACTAGTTTTTAAAACTTTTTCGAAAAGTGTGTTTTGCTCATAATTGGTATAGCAATTAAGATGGTTAAAACTGTTTCAGAAAAAAAAAAAATGTGGCCTGATGGAATTTTAGTTTGGGAAATATGTTTTTGATAAAGCAAAAGATAAAGTTCAGTCTCTTACCTATTTATTGGTGATCATCTAAATAAAAACATATACCGGAACCAATAAAGTAGGCAAACCAGTAAAATAGTTTAATAAATAGAAGCTTAGTGTCAAAAACTATGAAAGATTTGAGATTTTAGCCCACTTGCAAGCTAATAAATTAGTCTGTCATAGTTTCATGGATGCTAGAAGAAAGCATGATACTCCTGGGTCAGAGACAAAGGACTTTATTACTCACAGTGATGTATTACTCAGGCAGAGTATCATTATTTTCTTCCACTGGCTCCCTGACCCCCCACTTCCCACAGGATGATGCAAATAGGGCCAGAGGGCACTAGGCCATGTTTGGATTTTTTTACAGGAGAGGATCCCTGAATTTAGGGACATAAAATCTTTTATAATGGGCGGTAACCATGCCTGCTGTTTGCTCCAGAGGCTTTATCTTCCAAGGCTGCTCACTATACAAACATCCTTGAAAAGATAATGTGGTACAAAAGCAGTCAGTACTTCTGCTCCCAAGTACTTCTGCAAAAACACAGAGACCCATGGAGAATTGCTTCCCAACACTTACTCTGCATAATCCTATAACTTGAATTTGTTTACTAATATTCATTTGTTAAGTAGCTGAATTGGAGAATATATAATAATCAGATTTACCATATTTTAAGCCACCTATAATAAATAGTTCATGTTTTTTATGTCGGATAGTATTTATTGTCTGACCTTACGATCTAAGTCTCACTTTGATCATTTTTAAAATGAGAAAAAAGAGTAGTGCCTACATTATAGTGTTGTTGCTAGCATTAGATGAAATAATATATTTAAAGAACTTAGAAGAATGCCTGGCATGTGGCATGTACATGACAAAATTTATTAATATTGTTTTTATCTCAGAATTTTTTTTTTCTTTTTTTGAGACGGAGTCTTGCTGGAGTGCAGTGGCATGATCTTGGCTCACTACAACCTCCACTGTCTGGGTTCAAGCGATTCTCCTGCATCAGCCTCCCAAGTAGCTGGGATTACAGGCACCTGCCACCACACACAGCTAATTTTTGTATTTTTAGTAGAGACGGGGTTTTGCCATGTTGGCCAGGCTGGTCTCAAACTCCTGACCTCGTGATCTACCCGCCTTGGCCTCCCAAAGTGCTGGGATTACAGGCGTGAGCCACTGCGCCCAGCCAGAATTCATTTTTTATAAGTATCTGATTTAATAAAAAGAGAGTTATTTCCTAGGGCAGTTGAGGATGCAGGGAAAGTTCCTATCAGTCAACACTATTTCTCCAACTCAGGGGCTGACCTAAATATCCCAGATATCCTGGGTCCTTAGGCAGCTGGTCCTGCTAAGTCATACTGTGGCACTGTGGTTGGCAGCTTTGTGGGCAAGCATGGGGCCTAAGGAGGTAAGCCTTGAGTGGCTCTGAGGCAAATACACCTGTGTATCTTGCTTTCAAGTGCTCTGGTAGCATGTTTGCTATAGGTTTCTAACAAGTACAGAAAGCTAAATTCTAGCTATTTCTAAAGAGATTTTCTTCTTTAGTTGGCCTCGTCTGTTCTCACAAGGCAAGTTTTGGGGATGGTACTACAAAGAGAAATAAACTGGTACAATCGTATGTGGCATGTCTATGGTATTTCTAAACAGAGGCAGCATAGCAAATGTCATTTGGATTTTCTGTTTTTGTTAGCTCCAAACAAAAGAGGAGCAGAGGGGAGGGACAGAGAGCGGTGAGGGAGGTCCCATTCAGGTCAGTCCCCCATGTCCTTGCTTGGTTAGATTAGATCAACTTAGTCTTGATTTTGATCCATCCAGCCATCTTTTGGAGACATAGCCCTTGCCTACTGTTAGCAACTCTCATGAGCTCCCACTGACATCCCCAAGTTCTTTTGGATTTCTCCTTGACAATCATCTGGATTACTTCATGCAACTTAAGAAGGCCTGGTCTTACTCTTAAACTGCCAGCTTGTTAGGAAGAAAAGTTTATTTCAGTCACAGAAGCATTGCTCATTAGAGATCACCCATCCAAAATCTTCAAAAAACTGAGGTCCGGAGTGGCTAGGTGAATTGCCTAAGATCACGCATCTAGTTAGGAATTGAAACTAAACATCAAGTTTCTTAGCTCTCAGTTGAATTTTCTTACACTTGCAATACAATTAAGAAATAAGAGTGGGAAGGAAGAACCTCATAATAAGTTATTATGGCTTTCTGGAGAGTTATTACAGAGGATGAACATTGGGCTCTGCAGTCAGATCCACCTGTATTTATATCCTTTCTCTGCTTACGTAATGGAAGTTTATTTTTGCATAGGATAGCAGCTATTTCACAGGCTTATGTGAGGACTAAAAGTTGTAATGCAGCTCGTGAACTTAGCACAGTGCTTTGCACATAGTAGCTCTAAATCACTGCAGATATTTTGTATGGAAAACCGCAGAACACAGAGAAGAAAAGAATATTTGGAAAAAAGTAAAATGCTTTTTGCACAAGCTCGCTGTGAAAAATCCACCTCTCATGTCCACCTTGTAAAAAGGAGAATGTTTATTTCCTTCAAACTATATATTTTTGCGATCTGAATCTATTTTTGATAGCATCCAAAGAAAGATAAAATGAAAATCAAATGATGTTTTAGAGATTGACTACAGTAATGTCTATTTAAAAATAAAACTGGCATTCACTTCATCTTGAATTATCACAAACATTTGCTATTTCAAGTACCTCAGTGTAAAAACACTATATTTCTCTAATGCTTTAATTCCCTGACGCATGTTAAGTCCAAGAGGTAAAGGAAAACAATTATTTACGTATTTCTTTCTGTGAGAAAAAAAATGTACCAAATGGTCAGAGGAAGCAAAGTTTTTTCATGACTGTCATGTCAGGGAACTTGCCTACCTGGGGCTTCCTGTTGGGAACATCAAGACATGTGGAAGGCAGTGTCTTTGACAACACCCCTACAACGATGCAGTAGAGAATGATCCATCATTACTTAGAGGATCTTTGATGAAAGTCAGTGACAAATGCCAAAACGTAACTTAGTGAAAGTACTCTGCTGGAAGTTAAGACAAATGTTCCAAATATACACCTTTCTGACTTGATGTGTGAGTAGGGGTTCAAGCCCATTTTCTAAAACGATAGAGGTGTATATGTCAACGTTGTGTTGAAGATTCTGGTACCTGATAACAACTAGACATCAACAAATAACTCATCTTGTGATTCTGGATAAATTGCTTAATCTGTGAGAGAGATGAACTTTATAATTTATAAATCCCTGACTTAAGAAAATTTGATCTTGGAAAAAGCATAATACTATATAGAGAGTTATATATGTATAATCCCTAGTCAGATTTTAGGGAAGAATAAAAATAATTGAGCAGTGATAATTTTCTGGTTCTCAAAGAGTCTCTGACTTATGTTGAATGTAATAGTTCAACCATATCAGCAATTAGCAACTTGACTGCTGAGCAGTGATACCAGCCAACCATTGGTTTAACTTTTATAATAGTTTGAAGAACTGACCTTAAGAGATTATTTTCATACAAGCTTTGAGACATTGATACAATGTTATCTACAATGTCCATATAGGCTTCTGCTGTAATGAAGTGAGTATTTTCTCTCTCAATACCCAGAGAAGTTAATGCAGCAAGAGTCTTTTCATTTCAAAATCTTTTTAATGTCTGAAATTCTAGTGAATTTATTCTCAACATCATTAAGTCGTTTGAAGAAAAAATGTAGTAAAGTTGCCTTCAAGATCATGTGCATGTATCCAAAATACATGGTGCGTCCCTAAATTTCCATCAAAGCTAAAATAGTGTTAACCCTTTAGAAAGTCTGTGACTTGCCCGAGTGTCTGCCTGCAAAACTAATAAAGCAGTCATTTCTGTTGCCTCAGGATGGTGCTGCTCCACTGGTGTCTGCTGTGGCTTCTGTTTCCACTCAGCTCAAGGACCCAGAAGTTACCCACCCGGGATGAGGAACTTTTTCAGATGCAGATCCGGGACAAGGCATTTTTTCATGATTCGTCAGTAATTCCAGATGGAGCTGAAATTAGCAGTTATCTCTTTAGAGATACACCTAAAAGGTACTCTCCCTGCAGTATTTTCTTTATTAAAAAGCTCACAAAGGATGCCTCCAAAAAAGAAAGTAACCTTTAGACCTAGTTTAGGTAATTTACATATCACCCTATGAAGAGTATTACCGATTTTCTGTAAGTAAGGGGGAAAATGGTAGTGCAGCTTCTCATTATGAAATAAAGGCTGTTTGATTCTTGCTGATTGTCATCTCCTTTTGGGTGGAGGAGGCAATGCTTGCACTTCTTATATTTTGGAATGATTTTCTTCTTTTCAGTACAGTAGGATATTTCTAAGAAGGATTCTGTAAGATTAAAATGAAATCAATTTTCATGAATATGTATAATTCTTCAAGAATTTGCATTAAGTTTTGTTTTTGTTTTTGAGACAAGGTCTCTGTTGCCCAGGTTAGAGTGCAGTAGCATGATCATGGGTCACTGTAGCCTCAACATCCCGGGATGAATCAATCCTCCCACCTCAGCCTCATGAGTAGCTGGGACTGTAGGTGTGTGCCACCTTGCCCCACAAATTTTTAAAATTTTTAGTAGAGATGGGGATCTCACTATGTTGCCCAAGCTGGTCTCTAACTCCTGAGCTCAAGTGATCCTCCTGCCTCAGCATCCCAAAGTGTTGGGATTACAGGCATGAGATACCACACTTAATGCATTATGTTTTAGGAGTATAATATTTCTTCAACAAATATTATCAGATTCTGAGAGAATCAAACTAAACAGTCATAAAAACTGACACTGTTTATTTACCTTTACTCCAACATCAACAAATTGGGCTCACATAAAGTTTCTAAATGTTTTGACCTTTAAAAATATATATAAATAATATAAATAATATGTTATAAATTAATTACATTTAAAATTACCTACTTTGTAGTGCTCAAACTCTTTTCTCCCTTTATAAGTTTAGAACACACAGTTAATCTTTGGATAATTATATTTCAAAACCAGTTTCCTACTAACCTGGGATACAGTGACATGCCAAAGGATTAAACTGTCTCAGAACATTAATAACCCATTTTCTAGAGATTGAGGTATATCAGACCATTAGTCATCTTTTCAGTTTTCATTAACAGTAATCATGGAAGGAGGTGGTCTGAACCCCTTCCACTTAATGGCCCAGTCATATCTCTGTTTAGTCAAAATACATTAACTAGAGTGAACTATTGTTTGGATATCTTTTTGGCACTGCTCGAGTGAAATTATTTGTTTGCATGACCACACTAGACTAGTAACTGACTTGTCAATAACATATAAAATAATTTTGAATCTTTAAATGACATTCATGAGAGTAAAGGCAGAAAAGGAAATGATGGTTACATTGAAGGAACTTACTGTCTCAGTCCTGACTAAAATTGAGTCTGTGAAAACAGTAAAAGGCATACAAAGCAGTCCCTCATACTTCTAGTTATTCTTAACTATTAACTGAGTTCTTGCGAACACGTTTGGCTTTTCATATTATTTTGTCCTTTGAAATTTATATGTGAGTGAAATCAAATCAAAAATTTTCTGTAGAAATTACTTTCATTTCCCAAATGCACTTGTGCACTGCCTTTTTTGCAGTATACTTTAAATACAGCATTCCACATTATGTAATCAAATCACTTAATTAAATAGTTCATCTTGTTTAGTCTTCCAGTTTCTTAAAAATAAGTTGCCTTTAAGAGTTGTTTTAGAGATTACACTTCTGAAGAAAAGCTCCATGTTTTTATTATGAGACATTATAAAACATTTTCTATTTTTATTTCTTTCTTTTATTCATTCTTTATTTTTATCTTTTTTCCACCAATAATTATTGAGGCCTTTGGTATCCACAATATGAAGAAATGTTAACATACATTAGTAAAAGCAGACTTATACTAATAAAGGATTATAGCTACAAGTAGAAACTTCATTTCTGGGTGTGAAATATGCAGTGATAAGCACACATAGACGTTGTTTATATTCCAAATTAAAAAAGAAATTCCAGATAAAGTTTCACAGCAGTAAATTTAAAAAGACAACAAATGCATTAATTATTCTTATGTTTGTACATAAATTCCAAACGCTAAATGGCTCATGGTGTGATTATCCCTCAGCTTTGGCACTATAATGTGGGGCCGTGTTTCCTTAGTTATTATGTTTCTGTGTCCCTCACTTGCCAGTAAATATCTCGAACATGTAGATTACGTCCTGTCATCTCTGATTGTACTCTCTTGTACGGTTGCTTTGTGCAACTGTAGAATTGTGCAACCATCAAATTGTTAAGTATATTCAAATTATCATTTATTCCTAATCTAAGTGCTTCCCTATGAAAATGTTGACTTAAGAGGGACTCCCTGCTGCTTTATATGCATAATGATTATCTTGTGGAATGCAAGCATTGTTTTATTTGTAATAGGTCACCTATGACCTATGTTTAAGTTACTAAGATACAGTTTGGGAAATAAACTACTTCCTTGTGTGAAATGAGAACAGAAGGTAATAGACAAACTTGGACATTGTTTTTTTCTGTGCCGTTGGTTAGCTCTGCTATTCACATAAAACCTAAAATCAAACAAGAAATTTTGAACACTCTTTTACTCACATGATGCCAATCTACTTATATTGTTGTATCTATTTCTTTGTAATATAGATAGGTTCAATTGTGTTTATGTGGTTAATAACTCCCATGCAATCTGGCCAAAGAGACAAAATTCTACTCACAAAAAGTAGACTGCATTAAAAATTAAGCCTTCCGACACTCTGTTCAGGAATGCTTATGGTACATTAAACTTTCCATACAGTAAACAATTCAATCATCTATTTTGTCTAGATGATTGTTTAACTTTACTGTATTATGAATAAGTTGCTTTTGCATTTATAGGATCTTCACTTTATTTGTCTGCCAACTGCCTCCCGGCCATTCTCCATCTCCAAAAGCATCTTGGAATGGTGGCGGTGGAGGGGGGAAGTACTTATATTTCAATTCAGATTCTATGTCTTCAGGTAGAAGCAGACTCTAGGTATATGAACCAGGCTAGAACAAGAAGTGTGGTGTTAGGATTCTTAGGTTTTATTTACACATTTAGTAATTCAGATATTTTAAAATGTTGACCAAGTACGTACATGCAAAAATCTGTGCTAATTGCTAGGAACACAAAAGCGTGATAAATGAACCCTAACAGGGCCCTTGTGAGTAAAATGACATTAATCAAATAATAATATAATTATATAGTCACAAGTAACAATAAGTGCCCAAAAGTAAAAAGTATAGGACATTCTGAGAATACATACGAGGACCTGATCCAGAGTGAGCTGGAAAAAGCATCCCTGAAGAAATAACTTTAAATGTGAGTATGAGTCACAAACCTCTGTAGTGACAGGACCTCTGCCTACCTCACCTGTCTCTTGTCCTGTCACTACCCATTTAACTCTCTGTGCTCAAACCTCAAAGGACTTCTGTAGTTTCTGAACCGTACCCACCCTACCATCTATGGGATGTGGTTTTCTCTGCCTGAAAAGAACTCCTTTGCCCCAACTCACATTTAAAGTCATTTCTTCAGGGATGCTTTTTCTTTAGTCTCAAAGACTTCTCAAGGAATGTTTGTTGGATGAATTAATGAGTAGTTTCCCATACATCCACTTTCACCAACTCCAAATCAAAAACTGCAGCAAGAGGAATCTCCTAAAAAAGCAAATGTACTGTGTGATTTCCAGCTTAGAGTCCCTGTCGGAGCTTTAGATTTTAGCTTTGGGGAAAAATTCCTTAATTGTATGAGCCTGGATGAGATAACACAGGGAGTGAGCATAGGTAGAAAAGAGATGTTCAAGCACAGTCCTGTGGTTCACTCCCGACATTAGAGTTCAGGGAGGTGAGAAGGAACCAGCAGAGGAGACGGCTGTGGTCGGAGGCTCGGCGGTTAGTGTTGATCAGGGTTATGGAGAGAATAGGAAGGCAAGAGATATCCAGGAGGTTCAATCCACAGGAGGCAAAGCCTGTTTTTCTCTGCATGGAATCAGTGAGCAACTCTGGGCTTGCTAGAATCGAAACCACTGTTTCCTCATTGGCAAGATTATAGGTTTTGAAAGATAATTAAATGAAACTGTCTAAGTCATTTGGAGTAAGAATATATAATATTTCTATAGTTAAGCAATATTTTTATTCTTTTTAAGGCATTACAATAAAGGCTCAGGGGAAAGCACAGAGTAGAACATTTGATTTTTTAAATTTTGTTTTAAAATCATTAACTTATTTAATTCAACAGAAAACCTGTGATAGAGGAATGTGTCTTTCTACTGACTGACACAGTGTTCTTTACTTTTTAAAAGTATTTCTCAAAAGGTGATTAGATAATGCCATTCAAAAAGATATGAAATGGGCCAGGCATGGTGCCTCACACTTGTAATCCTAGTGCTTTGGGAGGCTGAGACAGGAGGATCACTGGAGGCCAAGAATTTGAGACCAGTCAGAGCACCATAGTGAGACTCCCATCTTTACAAAAAATTTAAAAATCAGCCAGATATGGTGGCACACGCCTGTAGATGCAGCTACTCAGGAAACTGCGGTGGGACGATCATTTGACCCCAGGAGTTTGAGGCTGCAGGGAGCTATGACCACGCCACTGCACTCCTTCCTGGGAGACAGTGCAAGCCTGTCTCAAAACAAACAAATAAAAAGAGATGAAATAGTAAAGCTGTGAATAAAAGTCACTAATGTAAAAATGTGAATACAGCATTATAGTGCCAGAGACAAACATACACTTTAGGACTAGGTTGCTGTGAAAATGATCTTTTGAAATGGTTGTAACTATGTCAGAGTGCCCTCAAGGTAATGTACAAATTTATCACCAAATGTATGGAAAGCACAGCACCTTTAGGGCATCAAACCTGGAAATTTTCTTGGTTGTGATTCATTTTGCAATGGCAGGGCATGTGTTAAATAATACCAGACAACAGGTAAGTGTTGATTTTTAACTCAAAATACTGTTGAGTTCAATGTCTTTTATTTCACACTGTATTTGTTGATGATAAATCTGGTTGCAGATCCTTGAGGCAGTTGGACTTCCACAGTTAATGCCGTGTCATGTTTTGTGTCAAATAGCCGATTTTATTTTCTGTTAAGAGAAAATACAATGACATTTTATGAAAATTTTATAAAATTTGTAAAATGAAAACAAAATTAAAACCAAATTATTTCTCTGGCAAGTCTTGATTGTAAATGTTAGAAAGAGTTACCACGGTCTAAACTGGTCCACTTTCCCACAGGTATTTCTTTGTGGTTGAAGAAGATAATACTCCATTATCAGTCACAGTGACGCCCTGTGACGCACCTTTGGAGTGGAAGCTGAGCCTTCAGGAGCTTCCGGAGGACACAAGTGGGGAAGGCTCAGGTAAGCAGCGGATAGATCTGCCCCTGGACCTTTGAATGGATGGTTTTAAGGCTTGTGAAACATACAAACTTCTGTGTGTTAGTAAGAAAAAGCAGCATGGGTGCACAGGTGAAGCTGAAGGTATGAGACAGAGATAAGGGAGGTGGGAGGGTGGCATCAGATGACATTGATCCTGACAAAAGGTTAGGAGAGACAGATACAGGGACTGATGGCTTGAGGAGAAGGGGAGAGGTTTGGACTAGCCTCTATGGCTGTGGTCGGCAATCTTGCCTAAACATCCTAATCACATATAAGGCTTTAAAAACTGTTGATTTAATTGCCACGGGGTGAGGTCCGAACTTTGGGATTGTTAGCACCGCCCTCCAGGTGATTCTAATATACAGCCAAGGTGAAGAACCTCTGATCTCCAGGGAATAAGAGATGGCGACAGAGAAGCAGAGAGGCATTTAGTAGTAGTTAAAGGCCAAGATGAAAACAAAGTTAGTAGGATGAGTGGGCTAAGCATTTAAAGAAGACATGATGGAGAGCAAATAATAAGATAAAAGGGAAATGAGAAGAGTCTGTATGACACCCTGAAAGCTCTTTAAGGGCATCATAGGTTAAAGGTGAAGGCTTGACAACGGTGCCCTACAGAAGACCATATATATAATCTCTCTCTATATATACACACACACATATACATATATATAGCTGTATATATAGCTATACATATACATATATATAGCTATGTATACATATACGTATATATAGCTATGTATATGTATAGCTACAAAGGCTAGCTATAGTAGTTACAATGAGGAGCAAACATCACAATTAGGAAAATTATGGAAGTGTGTTTGGGGAGTAAGGAGACCAAGATACAGAAAACGAATCTTGATGGGCCTGTTTTTCTGGGACAGGGTGTCGCTCTGCCGCTTAGGAGTGCAGTGGTGTAATCTCGGCTCATTGCAACCTCCATCTCCCGGGCTTAAGCAATTCTCCTGCCTCAGTCTCCCAAGTAGCTGGGACCAGAGGTGCATGCCACTATGCCCAGCTAATTTTTTTTTTTTTGTAAAGACAGGGTTTCACTGTGTTACCTAGGCCGGTCTCAACTCCTGAGCTCAAGCGATTCTCCCACCTCGGCCTCCCAAAGTGCTGATTACTGGCGTGAGCCACTGCACCTGGCCAAATCTTGATGTTAATATATCCGTTTGATGATTGTGTTTAGAAATATGAAATTCTATATAGCTCACTTTCAACCTGCAGTGATAAACTGGGAAAGGTTTCTTCTCACTGCAGCTACCCAGTCATTCACCAAGCCCTGGAAACTTATCTATACACTGGTATCTGTGTGATATCTGCTACTTACAGTAACAAAATATGGAAAAATTAGTTTAGTTTTAACACTATTCCTATGTTATTCCTGGGTGCATGTTCTGTACGTTGAACCTTAAACACTCTTTTTAAAATTTTCATCTTATTTTATTTTATTTTGAGACAGGGTCTTTCTCTGTTGCCCAGGCTGGAGCATAGTGGTGTAGTCATAGCTCACGGCAGCCTTGAACTCCAGGGTATAAGCAATCCTCCTGCCTCACCCTCCCAGGTAGCTGGGACCACAAGCATGTGCCACTATGCCCAGCTAATTTTTGTATCTTTATTTTTTGTAGAGACAGGGTTTCTGTTTGTTGTCCAGGCTCAGCTTCAAGTAATCTTAGAACCTCAGCATCCCAAAGTGCTAGGATAACAGGCGTGAGCCATGACACCCGGCCAAACATTCTTACTGGTACTTTACATTCTGTATTTTAATCAGATTGTCTAGTCCTTCTAACAGTAGTGAAATTAGCAAAATGACTGGCCATCCAAATGCAAACTGATACATTTCTTTTGGTAAGCAGATTGACAGTCAGGATTCATAATATCTCAAAAGTTTACAGTCTCTGACCTGAAATTTTTACTAATTGGATTCTGCTCTGAAGAAATAATTGAAATTCAGAAAAGTCTTACACATATATAAGAGCATGATGTATAATGGTCAAAATAAATATTATCTTGAATACATTTATAAATATTTTTACTTATGAACATGTACTATTTTCATAATGGAGAAGAAATAAGATAAAAGGATAACTTAAGGCTGGCAAGCCACAGTGTATGCCCTGACAGTAGCCTGTGCTTCTCATGTGTCTTCTAGGTGATCTGGAACCTCTTGAGCAGCAGAAGCAGCAGATCATTAATGAGGAAGGCACTGAGTTATTCTCCTACAAAGGCAATGATGTTGAGTATTTTATATCTTCTAGTTCCCCATCCGGTTTATATCAGTTGGATCTTCTTTCAACAGAGAAAGATACACATTTCAAAGTATATGCCACCACAACTCCAGAATCTGATCAGCCATACCCTGAGTTACCCTATGACCCCAGAGTAGATGTGACCTCACTGGGGCGCACCACGGTCACTTTGGCCTGGAAACCAAGCCCCACTGCCTCTTTGCTGAAACAACCCATTCAGTACTGCGTGGTCATCAACAAAGAGCACAATTTCAAAAGTCTCTGTGCAGTAGAAGCAAAACTGAGTGCAGATGATGCTTTTATGATGGCACCGAAACCTGGTCTGGACTTCAGCCCCTTTGACTTTGCCCACTTTGGATTTCCTTCAGATAATTCAGGTAAAGAACGCAGTTTCCAAGCAAAGCCTTCTCCAAAACTGGGGCGTCATGTCTACTCCAGACCCAAGGTTGACATTCAGAAAATCTGCATAGGAAACAAGAACATCTTCACCGTCTCTGATCTGAAACCCGACACGCAGTACTACTTTGATGTATTTGTGGTCAATGTCAACAGCAACATGAGCACCGCTTACGTAGGTACCTTTGCCAGGACCAAGGAAGAAGCCAAACAGAAGACAGTTGAGCTAAAAGATGGGAAGGTAACAGATGTATTTGTTAAAAGGAAGGGAGCAAAGTTTCTACGGTTTGCTCCAGTCTCTTCTCACCAAAAAGTCACCTTCTTTATTCACTCGTGTCTGGATGCTGTCCAAATCCAAGTGAGAAGAGATGGGAAACTTCTTCTGTCTCAGAATGTGGAAGGCATTCAGCAGTTTCAGCTTAGAGGAAAACCTAAAGCGAAATACCTCATTCGACTGAAAGGAAACAAGAAAGGAGCATCTATGTTGAAAATACTAGCTACCACAAGGCCTACTAAGCAGTCATTTCCCTCTCTTCCTGAAGACACAAGAATCAAAGCCTTTGACAAGCTCCGTACCTGTTCCTCGGCCACCGTGGCTTGGCTAGGCACTCAGGAAAGGAACAAGTTTTGCATCTACAAAAAAGAAGTGGATGATAACTACAATGAAGACCAGAAGAGAAGAGAGCAAAACCAATGCCTAGGACCAGATATCAGGAAGAAGTCAGAAAAGGTCCTCTGTAAATATTTCCACAGTCAAAACCTGCAGAAAGCAGTGACCACAGAAACAATTAAAGGTCTTCAGCCTGGCAAATCTTACCTGCTGGATGTTTATGTCATAGGACATGGGGGGCACTCTGTAAAGTATCAGAGTAAGGTTGTGAAAACTAGAAAGTTCTGTTAGTTACCTTATTATAGAGATATATTACGTAGAACTCCAGGAGGGACATTAAATCACTTTAAGTATAAACTGACTACTCCCACAGCTGAGAGAAGTTGTGACCTGTACTTGTACTATGGAAGGAAGGATATCAACGTGTGTATATTGATGTTTATATAAGTAACTCTTGAAGGAGACTTGTTCTAGCGTGCCCCATGGTACCTAGTGTATGTCTTACGCCGGTTGGTGTCAAAGATAGAGGACTTCTTAAAGGAACTTGCCATTCCTTGCTTTGACCACTGCATGAACTGCTTCTAAATTATTTTATTACCTAAAAATTTAAAATATGCCATTCATTGCACACACCCACAAATGCAAATCATTCCTCTCTATAGATGCTAGGATATATATAAATTATTTTATAAATTCTTGTTTTAAATGTCAGTGTTTCTATGATTGTAAACTATTCTTTTCCTATTACAGATCTAATCTAAGTATTATTAAGTGGATAGCCCTCTAGTCAGTTATATTGCTATTGTAAATTCTTGTTTGTTGAGTAAAATGTTTAAATACTATATCTTATGTACAAAGTTGACATACATTATATTCATGTACATAAAATTAAAGATACTAGATTATATACTGTTCGTTTTCCCAAGCAGCTACCTTGGTGTATTCAATTTCTAATCTGTCTTCAAAACTGCACCTTCTGTAGTTTGGCACCAAAACAGACCCTTTTTTAGTAACTAAAAAGGGATGCCCCATCTCTCTAAGTTACTATGTCATTAGAAATAGTTATTAAAATTTGTATTTTTGACGTTGAATAGGAGCCAGCTGTTAGGAGAGTTGAGAGAGCTACAATAGACTTGTTTTAAAAGAATAGGACAAACCAAACACTGACTCGATAAGTATTCAACAAATTGTCCTTAATAACCTAAAATATATCACATTATAAGCATTTATTTTAAGTACAAAATTGAGATATTTCAAGTATTTTCCATCTGTTTGAATATTAGCAAAATAATTAAATAATTATTTTAACCTCTAGCTGACGCAACTTAACAAACACCAATCAGGACGTTTATTAATAAGAAGAAAACTAGGAAAGCTGTTGTTTTATTACACTAATGGTCTGCTACTTTTAACTTTGATTTTTCATGGATTTTTAAAAAGTAATTTCGGGTGTAAGAGAAAATTTAGGCAAATCATAATAGAAATATTTTATCAGAGACCGTGCACAAAGGGCACTTTTAAGTAACTTCATTCTCCACAGGTTCTATACATGAATCATGAGGGGTTACGAGAACATTGGTCCAGGAATCAGAAAAGTCTGGAATTTATCATCACCTAAAGCAATAAGACTTTAAGAAGATCTGTTACCTCCCATCATCTCCCTTTCCCATCTATAACATTAAGTGGTGATAGATTTAGATGAGATGACACTGTTAGATACTTTCTATTGTAAGAGGTGTCTTTGGTGGAATTCTATGATTCTAAAGTACTGTGACTACAAGTGTGGACAGGTATAATCCCTTTACCTCTACTGCCCCCTGCATGCTGACCCTGCCATTCATATGGTGGGCATTCAACAGCAACATTCCTGTGGAGTATAGATGGCTATGACCAAGGTAGTGTGTGTGGTGGTCCTTATGAACTGTGCTCTGCTTGCCTTAGGAAAAGATAGTTCCTAAAAACGTTATCATCCAACTCCTCAGTATTAAGATATCTAAACAAAAGTGACCACATATGTACCCAACAGTAATGACACCTGAATTTTTTAACAGATAAAGAACAGTACCCCCATGGTTATGTAACCAACCAACTTGGAAAGAGAGACTTTAAAATTGACAGCATCCCAGAGATGCTGTATCCTAAGTTATGAATGTGCTGCCGTTGAAGAAAAATCAGCTTTCTCATATTACTGACATATATATATTATTACATAACAATGTGTTAAATGGGACTACAGTGAATCAAAGAGTTGTTGCAGCTTCTGAAGGTGACAGACTTAACTTTCAGATATTGCTTAATGCCTGGGAAACCCTGGGAACCAGGCCAAGTCAATTTAACCAAGCTTTTGCTTTTTAGCCAGCTGTGATGGTGGTTTCTACATAGTCTGGATAAATCCAAGAATTCTTTCATGGCCCCAGTGAAATGTGCCTTTTTGAAATTATTAGGAAAACGAAATACACGTTGTGAAACTTCTATCATTCCTAAAGAAAGGGGAAAACCTATTAAAAATGAAGCTCTCTTATTTACTAATGCATTTCTATTTCAGGAGCATTTGGCTAAACTGGGGACAAAAAAACAAAAACTTGTTCTTAATTAACAAAAGAACTAGAAAGAAGCTCATATGAAAGCACCACCTTGTGTTCAGTAAGCTTCAGGATAGCTCTGTTGACAGCAGGGCATTTAGAGTCCCAAGTATAGTCATGTATCATTGGGGAGGGAAGAACCTTTGAGGACGTTTAGTTTACAATCTTTATTATTTTTCAGGTGTAGAAAAGAGATTAAAGATCATAGAAGTCAGAATAAATTTGTAAAAGTTCTCATAGTCAAAACAGCTGAGTAATGGCATTGCCCAGACTCCAAAATCCTGACCAGAATATAAATCACCAATTCTTGGTTTAAAGGGGTTATTTGTGAATCATTTTCCAAAAAAAAAGAAGTACACGTTTTGTGTTACTTACCATTTCAAAGAAACTTATTCTTCAAGACCATTTCAGATTTCCTTAGGAATGTATGTGTTATCCATAATCGACCATTTCAAACTTGTAAGAAAAAAATTTTATGGTCATTTTGTTATTTTTAGAGAAACAAAGTATTTCTAATCTAGGTTTGCATGCACATACGACCTTGAGGCTCTGAAATAATTAGTCAATTGCTTTAATTATAAGCCCTGTTTTTTAAAATCTAAAACTAATAAAAAATCTATAAGAATTATAACAGATTATTTTCTTTGTTAAATTACTTTATAATCAAGTTCTAGATTAAATGTTTAAACATGCATTTAAGGATTAGTGCTGAAAAGCACTTATTATAATTACTCAGAACACATTTGAAAAATTGTGATTTTGATATGATGAAGAGACTTAAAAAATGACAAAGATGAACTTCAGAGTTTGAAAAAGGTTTAATGATTCTTAACGGTTTGACTCTGAATGAAACCACACATGTGCGCACGCACGCACACACCCACACTTTTGTATATATTCAAGGAATCCGTTGTAGCTGAAACCAATCCAGTATCCTTTCCAATATTTTACCAATCCCTTCTAGAGATGGTCTAGTTATACCATCTCATTTTACAGATGAGGAAATTGAGGCCCAATGAAGACTAGAATCCAGACTGTCTTACTCCCAGTTTAATGTTCACTCAGGACTTCATCTTAAGCACTTCTTCACTATAGAAAGCATGGGACAACTCACCCAGAGTATACTTCTTTGTCTCTATTCACTGGCTAGCTTCAAAACAACACAAAAACAAGCATCTAACTTGGAGGACAATGTCATCTGGAGCATCTCCAGCCACTTCCTTCCCCCAGATACAATAGGCTGGGAACCTGCCTTCTGGCCCTCTCCCTATGACCAAGTAGAGTGACCACTGCCAGACTTTAGCTGGTCTTTATATGTAGTCAGCCAAATGACCTGGGAAGCACCAAGGTGCACTCACAATTGTATTTCCCCAGAGAGTTTTAGCCAGAAAAATAGAGAGTCTTTGGGGATTTGGGCCTTTGTTGTTTTGAAAGTGGGAAGTAGGAGAAAGGAGAACAGGGAGACAAGTGGGGTGTGGAGAGAAGTATAATTTTATCTCATTTCTTTCTCTGAGAGATCTAAGAAGTCAAGAGAAGCAAGAGATCCAGTGTAATTTGATTTTATTAATGTTTGCATTCTGTCCTTCATGTAACCTTATGCTAGAGCATTGTACCTGGATCACCATCCTCTCTGTCAGAATTGCATCTCACTGATGGACATTTTCATTTCCCAGGAGTGGCTGATCATGCATCTGAGCAAGATTTCCTTCATTTCTCTTTACATTCCCCATTCCTGACCTTTGAGAAACAGTCATCAAAGTATAGAAATGAAGTCTTTTAAAATATCTTTCCAGATGGACCCTTAGAACTCTTTCAAAGATATTTGTAAATATTCACTCTAAGTGTAATAGAAATAAAAGGCTGTAGATCTTCATTACGGAAAAACCATTAGCTCAAGATTGAATAGCTCAAGGTCTTAGGCACAGTTTCATCTTACACTGTCATTATTTAGATCCCAAAAAGGAGAGGGCAAGATTGGCTATCCCACAGTATAGCGGGGAGGAGGGCAATGCAGGGAAGGACATTGATTCCTAGTAAAAGATCCATTAAAAAACAGAAATAAGAATGAAGTACCAGAATGTAATTTATCATCCCTTTATGCTACAGAGGAGAACTTGCAAGACAGTGTAAGGTTTCCCTGGAACTTGTTAGAAATGTCGTCTAGACGTTGAACCAGGAACACAATCAAGCAACCTCCCAGGGAATAGCCAGGCCCCAAGCCTCTTCAGAACTGGGCATAATGTTTTGAATTGAAACAGAGGTATAAAACAGAGAGGTCAGAGCAGATCAGTACTGGTTATGGGTGATGAGATCCAGACAGAATAGTCTCGAAAAAAGTAACTCTTCCAACGAGGGGGTATGATGGATGTGTTATTTTGTTTTTTTGAGTCTAGTAGTATTACTGTCTGAAACTGGACAGTTTTTAGGTGCAACTTCAAAATGTTGTTTGTGTCTCTCTTTTCTTGTAAACACCTGCCAAGATTAATACCCAATCAAATACCATGACTGGGAAATAAACAAATATTCATTTCTTGTCTATAATTACCTTTTGGGATAATCCTTTCAACTTGTGTAAATAAAATATAACAGAATAACACCAATAGTTATTTCAAGATAGACTGAAAACCCCAAAATGCCCATATAACTCTGACAGTAGTGTGTTTCTGAGAAAAATTGTTTATAATAAACAGAATCAAGTATATGAATACATTACAGGCATAGAAGTCTGACTGTTCGTTCTCATCCCTTCCTATAAAATGAACTCAGACCTATTTAAATAGGATTAATATATTAGTTCATTTCATCATACAGGCCTGATAATTTCCACATTGCCAGACCAACAAACAGTTTTTGGAAGAAGCATGTCACACTCAAGAACCACTGGTAAATGTCTCATAGGCATCTGCATTTGTCCAACCTGGTTTGTGCTCTGTGGGTCCATATGGCTGAAGTAACAAGATTGTGGCGTAACCAATGTCATAGTTATAACGGTAGACATAGATTGCTACATGAGCAATTTGGTAAGAGCAACTGATCTAGTCACAAATATGGCCCATTTCCAATGGTTGAGTTTTAGCAACACTTGATGTTTCCAGCTCTTCTGGATATGGTAAGAACTTCAAGTGAGAGAGACAAACAAGCATACATATATGTTTTAAATAATCAAATAAAATTCAACCAGTTTTATTATGGTAAAATATAACTTCAAAAACATTTTTTAAAGAAATAGCAGACTCTATTTCTATTTTATGGCTATTTTAAAAGAGTAATATTCAATACCTCATTCCTGCTGAATAAAGCTTGTCATTCTTCAAATAAAGAGGTCAAGCTATAAATTACAGATTGCGGAATTTTGCCTTCTATTATGCACAGGATCCCAAGTTCTGTTGGGTTGTCCTGGGGTGATCTTCAGGTATGAAAAAAGATGAAAGAGATATGAAAGCAGGGTAAGAATCACAACATTTACATCTAAATTGAATTTTGTGCAAGTTCCATTGACTAATGGCAGAGAGCTGTGCTTCAAATACAGCTGTGGACTGAGCAAACTTGGCTGCTCTAAATACTGAATGCCAGTTCCTTTGCCAATTCCATGGGCAAGCATTCCAGGAGGCCCGAGTTAAAATGTGCAGATAAATACTCAGTTCTGGAGTTTTTTGGTGCCAAAGCATACAGAATACTGACTTTCTGCTATGGAAATCTGGGAAGAACGGAACTTCTGTTTTTAATATCTCTGAGGATTTAAAACAGTTCTTAGACTACTTATTACCTTTCATAAAACTCACTCCTACTTTAAAAGTCTCTTGGTGGCTTACCTATATTAAAAAGAGGAAAAGAATTCTTTTTGATTCCACTGAGTTTTCTCTTCTCTATTGAAGTTAAGCAAGCTAATAAGAGGACAGCAGAGGAAAAAGTGCAGAAGTGGGACTTTGGGCATTTTCTTAAACTTCTGTGGACTTGAGCTTTCTCATTTGTAAAATGAGAAGGGTGATGATCTCCTAGATTCCTTTTTGGAGAAGCAGGGAAACTAACAACCTTTAAGCATACACTGAGTGCCAAGCATTTGAAATACCGTTATTTAATCCTTATAACAACCCTGAGATGAAGACATTATTGTATTCTCATTAAGCAGAGGAGAAACCCAAAGAACAAATAAATTACATAACGTGCTCAAGGTCACAAAGTTAATACAAGATGGAGCTGGAATTTAAACGCAGATACATCTGGTACCAAATGAATGCATTTTTCCACATCCACCTGTATGCTTGTGAGTTCCAGTGCTACTTAGTGAATCTCACCAGAATAGAATACATGACGAGTTCCTTACTAAAACTGGGTAAAGTTAAAGTGTATTAAAGCTTGGCCTGCATATTTATAAACAAGTTTTCTCTGACATAGATACAAATCAAGCATTAGGGACAGAAGACAAATAATTGACAAAATATTGCTAAGTTGCTGTTATTGTGTAGAACTTTCCCGTTTTAATGGGGACTCATACTACCATAACAACTTTGCTTGGTATTTCTTTGCATCTTATAATATAGAGTTTGATGTAATGCTTACATATGATACAATGTGTCTTTAATATGATGTTAATAAACCTTTATTTAATGCTTTTGTGTTTTAGCATATCAAGAGTTGTCTGTGCTTGTCTTTGTTTTTGTTCCTGCTTTGCCTTTGCACATGTTTGACTTCTGTTATCATTATTTAACAGCAAATGTTTACTGGGCTTTCATTAGATGCCACATCCTGAGATGAGAGTTATAGACCGAGCTGAGGCATCTCTTTAACCCACATAACAACCTTATGAAGTAGACATTACTATTTTCCACATTTTACTGATGAATAAATCGAGGGTCAGAGAAGTTAAGTAACTTCCCCAATTTCATGCAGCAAATATGGGGTGCAGTTCTGTGTCCAATTCAGGGTTTTAGACAATGCCAGTGCAGGAAGGGATGATACTTATTTACTGCCTTTGGGAAAGATCTTCTGACTGCTTTTCAAGGAACTCATTGGCACAAATCTACTTTTAAAATTTGTTAGACTTGTGTTCGTTCTACAAAGCACTTGTTTTGATGGCTCATGAGATACTTACTATTGACATTCTTGTGATTTGCGCTATTACACTTTTGTTTCTATATAAATTTTTCCTCATCTACTTCATAGTGAAGGAGTTCACACAGCTGCTTCCAGAGTCCCAGGCTGAGAGCTAGTGAACTTCATGTCCTGCATGGGAAAGGAGCCAGCTGATGACAGGATTCAGGTAGCGTCATCAGGGCTTGTTTGGTTGGACTCCATCCTGGACAGTGCTAGGGAGGAATGATGGCCATGTTGATTCTCTGGGTCCTCCTCCAACTTGAAAATATTTTTTCTAGTTGCTAAAGTAATATTATAGACATATATAAACTACAAATTATTGAAACACATGACATAAAACTTGAACATTCGCCCTTATTATTTTCCCCAAAGAAAACTATTTTTAACAATTCTACTTGCATTCCAATACTTTTTGTTTCCTGTTCATAAAATATTTATCTTTCATTTTTATCAAATATGGAATTTTACTGAATACACAGTTTTGCTTTTTTCATTGAATTTGATATTTTGAGTTACATTCCCTGCCAACTTGACCTTTAAAAAAATCAATTCTTCCCAGACATTCTCCAATGATTTGTGAAAGTGTGTGTCTTATGAACACACATATTAAATCATCCTCAAATTTAATGCTGAACCATCACCTACCTCTTCTATGTTCACTGTTGCACATGAGCTTCCTCTCCCAACAAGTAACATATTCTAGAACTTGTCTTCATCTTTAGACTCATCAGTGTCTTTGTGGGGGTGTCTCCCAGACAATATGGGATATCGCTTAGGGGTTCATGGACACATTATTCTAAGAATCAGACAAATATATTTAAAAGTTCAAATAAAATGTTCTTAAAGCCCAGCTAAGTGTTTTTTATATTAAAATTTTACTGAATACTGTTTCTGTCTCACACTAATCAAGTTGATATTTGGAAAGTAAAGATGACATTCTGTATAGAAATTTTTCCTGAGTACATGTGACAAAGAGATTGGGTTAAAAGCAGGTCATCCATCCTGGGGAAGTGGGATCAGACACAAAAATAATAATAATAAAAAATAATAAATTTTAAAAAGTGGGTCATCACCTGGTTTCTCTTTTACTATCTCCCCACAAACCTCTACCCCCCAACCACTTGATCTAATCAAAGCAAGGAACCAAGTATTTTCTTTTTTAAAAAAGTTTATTTTGTTGTGGTAAAAACACCTAACATGAAGTCGACTTAATAAAAAAGTTTAAGTGTATGATACAGTATTGTTGACTATAGGTACAATGTGCATAGCAGATGTCTAGAGCTTACTCATCTTGCTTGACTGAAACTTTGTGCCCATAGGTTAGTAACTCCCTATGTCTTCTCCCCTCAGCCTCTGACAATCACCATTCCATTCTTTTTCTTTTTTTTTTTTTTTCCTTTGTAAGACAGAATCTTGCTCTGTCACTCAACTGCTGGAGTGCAGTGGTACGATCACAGTTAACTGCAGCCTTAACCTCCCCAGGCTCAGGTGATCCTCCCACCTCAGCCTCCCAAGTCGTTAGGACTACAGGTGTGTGCCACCACATCTAGTTAATTTTTGAATTTTTTGTAGAGAGGCAGTTTCCCCATGTTGCCCAGGCTGGTCCCAAACTCCTGACCTCAAACAATCCACCTACCTCAGCCTCTCAAAATGCTGTGATTTACAGGTGTGAGCCACCACACTCAGCCTTCCATACTTTCACTCTATGAATCTGACTATGATAGATACATCATATAAGTGGAATAATGCAGTGTTTGTCTTTCTGCAACAGGATCATTTCACTCAGCATAATATCCTCAAGTTTCATGCATGTTGTTGCATATTGCAGAATTTACTTCTTTTTTAAGGTTGAATAGTAGTCCAATGTATGTATTTGCCACATTTTGTTTATCCATTCATCTGTCAATGGACGTTTAGATTGTTTCCATATCTCAGCTACTGTGAATAGTGCTACAATGAACATGGGAATGCTAATATCTTTTCAATATCCTGATTTCAATTCTTTGAATAAATATCCAAAAGTGGGATTCCTGGATCATTTGGTAGCTCTATTTTTAATGTTGGGGGAAACTTCCATATTGTTTTCCACAGTAGCTTCACCATTTTGCATTCCTACCAATAGTTTTCAGGGGTTTCAATTTCTCCCCATCCTCACCAACATTTGTCTTTTTTTTTTTTTCTTTTAATAATGACCTCCTAACAGGTGTGAGGTGATATCTTATTGTGGTTGAAATTTGCATTTCCCTGATAATTAGCTATGTTAAGCATTTTTTTCATAAACTTGTTGGCCATTTGTATGTCTTCTTTGGAGAAATGTCTATTTATGTCCTTAGCCCATTTTTAAAATGTCATTTTTAATAGACACATAATAATTGGCCATATTTATGAGATGTAGTGCAACATTTTGATACATGTATACATTGTGTAATGATACAATTAGGATATTTAGAATATTCATCACCTCAAACATTTATCATTTTTGGCAAGAACATTCAAAATCCTCTCTTCTAGCTATTTTGTAATATATGACGTAACATTGTTAATCATATCATCCTGTTATGCAACAGAGCACCAGAACTTTTCCCTCTTATCTAACTGTAACTTTGTACCCGTTGACTAATCTCTTCCTATCCCCCACTTCCCACTGCCTAGTTATTAGTTGTTTCCTACTGAGTTATAGGAGTTTTAAAATATGTTTTGAAGATTAACTGTTTACCAGATATATGATTTACAAATATTTTCTCTGGCAGGTTCCATAGAACCATAGCCTTCACACTCTGTTGATCATTTCCTTTGCTGCGCAGAAGCTTTTCAGTTCAATATAATCCCAGTTGTTTATTTTTATTTTGTTGCCTGCGCTTTTGGTGTCATAACATGCCCTTTCAAAGGAAATCTTTACATGTATTTTTGAATCACAATTAAATATTCTGAAGGGTTTGATAGTTTCTTGGTTGGGTAGCAGGTAGTGGGAAGAGAAAGACTCTTACCTTTTCATCTATTACTGCCAAACAATTCTGGCATGGGTGAAAAAGATAAACATCTTCAAGCTCTCTGGCCGCTTTCTCCTTTGCATGCTGCTCTTTGGAATGTTCAGGCAGAAGACTGACACGTGGCAGGCACAAAAGAAGATAGAGATGCGGGTTCAGTGTCTCTGCTGTCTGGGAATTAAATGTCACGACGGTTGTCTCTGTAAAGAGCTTGAGCAAAGATACTTTAAAATTTCCATTGCATGCTCATTCCAAATTCTGGTTAAGTGAAGTGACAATAAAAAAGTAAACTGAAGCTACTCTCAAGGGATCCACAGAGGACTAAGACTTGAAAAGTATATTTAAGGAGTATATAGTAAAAATTTTTATTGCATCTGCATTTGAGGTATGATAAAATACACAGTTAATGCTAACATCTGGTTTGTTGTATATGTCCTGATTTTATGTGTATTTACAGGAATGTATGTGTGTTTTATATGAATAAACAGAGGACATAAGGTTATGTATAAAAACTATATATGGCATATATTAACCATTACATACTTAGATTTAGATTTACATACTTAGACTTAGATTTATGCTTTCATGTTCCAGAATGAGAATGCCTTTTAATTTTTAATTTTTCTTTCTCATACTTCCTTTGTCTGGTTTTCTTAAAAACGTTATCCTTGCCTCGCAAAACTAATTGGGAGGCATTCCTTCCCTATCTAAGAAAAATTTTGTATAATATTAGGAATTATTGTTTTCTTGAATATTTGAAAAAACACAGCTGTGTTTTATCATATTTTATTATCATTTGGGGTGTTATGACTACTTTATTATTCTACTTCGTTACTGATTATATTCTATTCAAGTTTTCTATTTCTTTTTGAGTCAAAATTTTAATTTATATTTTTCTTTAAAATTTGCCATTTGACTTAAACTGTCAAATTTATTGCCCTCAAGTTGTTCATAGTGTTATGTTATGGAACTTGAACAATCATATTAGGAGGAGCTATCTTCCTAGCTAAGAATGATTTTCTTTGAAAAGCTTATATGAATAATTACATTCTCCTAAGTGAATTTTAGTGGTCCAGGCCCAGGGTCCCCATGCTGTGTGCAGTCTAGCAAATTGGATCCCTTTTCAGAAGCAGCAGCTTCTAGTTTTGTTAATCTTCTAAATTGTTTCTTTGTCTTATGTTTTGTTGATTTCTAGTCTTATTGTTATTATTGTCTTTCTTCTGCTTTCTTTGCATTTTTACTGTTTTTCTAATTGCCTGAGTTAATCATTTAGCTTACTTATTTTTATGTTTTTACTTTCTAATATATGGTTTTCCAACCCTACATTTCCTTCTGGGTGCCACAATAACATTCCCTTTGAGTATAACTCAAGTAGCGTTCTATTTGTTTTTATATAAAATGTTTTGTTAGGTGATAAGACATTCATAATTCTCACAATGATTTCTTCTATTATTCAAGAATTGGAGTATTATTTTCTTTTGGTTATTTATATAGACAATTTTATTATAGTCAGAGAAGGTGGTCTGTATGCAATTAATTCTATAGGAG